CCATATTTAACTGGACGAATTATATTCATTGACCTGTGTATCAGCCATAATATCTGGTTGGACAAGGACGAATATAAAATTATAAATATTAATCTGCATATCAGTGGACATGTTCGTCTGATCAAATATAAAATTATTAACATTAATTTGTATATCAACGATCATGTTTCGGTCAAGACAAAGTTCATACTAACCTCTATATCTGCAATCATATCCCTGTCTGGACGAAGATGAAGGGTTAAGGCTTCACGATGTTCCTTCTCCTCATCGTAAAGGATCTGGATTTCTACAATTATTCTGCTCACATTCTGTCCGAACTCCAGTTCTACCACATCAAATTAAATCATATGACTCATGATGAAAAAGTTTGACTCTCTTGATAAACAAAATTTATTATAAAATTATCTGGGATTTTAGTATAACAGATATTCTATAAAAACGGGGTAACTGTTAATATTTGATACAAACACACACACATATCTATATATTTATCAGATTCAGTTCCATTTTGAATCCCGAATAACATTTATGCACTGAAGTTTAGAATAACTTATTTAACCTTACAATTAATGTTGCACAAATACAATTTTCTGAAAGTATATACATTGTAAAATTTCAATAAGTAACATTACGTATTGTAGGGGCTGTTTCAGACTTACCCTTAGAAAACGGTATATAGTCTTTTCCAGATTTTGCTGACCCATCTTTCGTGTGAACCCGCACGTGAGATGTTTCACTTAGGTCACCCCTTCGAACCACCGGTATTTCTACTATTGTGACGTCATCGGGATTTCTAGGTTCTTTCACGTTGAATCTGTTCTTTTCAAATTTTATTACCGGCTCTAAAAATAACAGATGTATTGTAGTAACATACACTACGACGTCTTAAAAGAAAACTGTCCAAAAGAAATCTTATCGCAAGTTTTACGCCATGATAACCTATTTAAAATGCTTGCAAGATATATTAATCTACCCCCCCCACCCACACACACAGTGGCACAGCGGTATATCTGTGGACTTACAACGCTAGAATCCGGGTTTTGATACCTGTGGTGGGCAGAGCAGTACAGATAGCCCATTGAGTAGCTTTGTGCTTAATTACAAACAAACAAAATATATTAATCTGATAGTTTCTATCCCAACCCATTCTTCTTTATTAGCTTTTGCAGATATTTTTCGAAACGTTTAATTTTCAGCTCAATAGATTGAACATTTTTTATTTGTTTAACGTCTATTAATGATTAAAAACTCAATAATATGACACATTAGTATAAAAGAACAACAAAAAACAACAGCATTTTTTAGCCAACATTATGGGCGCGCGTTTATTTAGCATAGATGTAGCGGTGGGGTGAAGGGATACCGTGCTTTATGCCCCACCAAAATTTCAAAGAAAGACAGTTTTTTCTTAGCGTTGATCTTTTGCTTTAAACATTTTTTCCCGGATTAAAAAATACTAGTACCAACTCCCTCGAGAATTTTTTCCTGACCACAGGACTATCTTCAACTTATTAAATTCTTCCTTGAGAACTACAGAATAGGCTGAAGAATTGTTGTTTTTACGATTACTGCTCTCCTCAAGCACCTCCCAAAATTGTAATAAACAACAGTGAGAATATACTCATTTTTAAGCTAAATTATTCTCAAAAATTAATCTGAAAACTTCCAAAATAACCACTCATAATTTTTTGAGTACGAATTAAAAACGTTTAGTAATATTATTCTCATGATTATAGTGATAGATGTAATTGAAAATTTATTTTTGATTATCTTAGTTGCATAGTTATCTTTCATTATATTATTTATAGTATCTTCTATGAAAGTTATTTATATTACATCAGTCACAAGCTTGTTTTATGTATCATCCCTGGAGAAGCCACAAAGACGAAAGTTCGGCTAAAATACAAATTCTCTTTTAATTACCTGGAGTGTAAAGGTCGTTTTTTTTTCAAACTTTATTATCAAAATATTATTGTAATGACTTAGACAAAAGAATGTTTGGGGAGGTTACTCTCATTATCCTATTATAACACGTTTACTGAAGTTATTCAATGACCTTAGTTACAAGAACGCTTAACAAAGTTTGTTTGTTTGTTGTTAAGCGCAAAACTACACAATGGGCTATGTTTACTCTGTCCACCACGGGTATCGAAACCCGACTTTTAGCTTGATAAGCTCATAGACTTTTTGCTGAGCCACTTACAGATTTGTTACAGGAACGTAAAACAACAGTTGCTTTCAATATATTTTAATATCTAATATATATCGCGATCCGTGGTTTCTGTCCGAGCGTTCGTGTGTTGTCTCCTGTTTGAAAAGCTACGCAGCCAAGCAAAGCTAAACATTCATTTTTGAAATGACGGGTGAACGTACATGAATAATTTTGATGCCAAATTTTATTTCACAAGCAGGATATTCTACACTGAATTATTAGGAATTAATCACACTATCATTCACATTTCAAAATGTGAAGTAACTTAAAGAATAAAAGTGTAGATTTACGGTATGTAATTGTTGAGCGGCTCTTAGCATGACTGAAAAGCTCAAGAATTACTTTTCACGGTGGGTGGTATAAGTAGCTCAGAGCTTTGGCTGTGAGTAAAACCAAGAGTGCAACACAATTAACTTTTTTAAAGTCCTCGAAATAACTATAACTTAAATTGCTAAATTAACTTAAACGTTTCAGTCACTGGGGACGGGTACTTTTGCTAGATTAGCTTAAACTTTTCCGTCACAGGGGACAGGTACTTTTGCTTGTTCATTCAATAAGCATGCGAAATTCCACAGCTGAAAAATTTGACATTTTAAAAGCTTAAAATCTATGCTCTCCAATAAAAGAACTATTAATTTTATCACATAAAAAAATAAAATAACTCACTGTCTCCATCATCTTTTATTGTGAGTTTCGTCACATTTCTCGATCCTACTAAAGCGCCGCCTGCCGTATCGCTAGCAGGAGTTCCGAGCCACAATCGAAATATTTCATCTGGTTCGTGGATAGTATCGTTAACCAAGATTACCGTGCAAGGCTTTTCCATCTCACCTGTTGACAAACGCAGAAAGCACAAAGCACCTCATCATTGAACATGACAAGAATTCAAAAACAGAATTCAGTTATTGTGATTGAGTTGTATGTGAAAAATAATTTTATTTCGTTGTTTAAAAATAAAATCATACTTTTATTAACGGCTTTGTTACTTATTTTAACGTAGATAAACAGAATTGTAAAATTAGGGTTAAGAATTTGGAGTAAAAAACAAAACGGAGAAAAACAGGTCGAATGAAAAACTAATTATGCATACATTAATAGCCTATTCACTAATAAACATTACAAAGTTTTTTGAAGAATGAATAGTAGACACTTTACCAATAAGAATTATTTTTAGGTTAATAGATCACAGACATTTTCTAACTGTCGTATTACCTGGTTCAAAAACAACGAGTGAATCGTCAGTGTTGGGCCTTTCTACATAATCTTCGGTGACCTTGGCTGTGTCCTGACGAGTATAGCAACGAACAGTGGACTCGTGTCCTTGGTCCCCACTCCGGACAATATATGCCGAAATCTTCCCATCATTCTCGAAGGCCATATATTCCGATTCCCTGAACTGCATCATAGGCACTATAGATGGAAATAAATTTTTTCTAAAATACAAAAGTGTAAATTTTGATGTTATATTTAATAAATAGGAAACTTTCTTACTTCAATAATTAGTAATTTTGGAAAATTTTAAAATGTAAAATAATTTTCGTTTTATAAACAAAACGATGTTATCTATACACTAAATTTGATAGTAAATGCCAAATAGGATATTTTATAGTTGCCTTCAGTAAATGCAACACTATGTAATTATAAGTAATATATACTTACAGTCAGATAAAGAATCATTAATAGTGACTACGGCTTGACTGGGATTTCCCAGTTCGGCATTCATGGGCATGCGCATAACTAGCTCAAAAGTTTCTGGACCTTCCAAGACTGGCTGGCCTAAATCATCTAAAATGGTGACTCTGAAGGTTGCCCGGGTAACGCCAGGTTGGAAATTCAAGGTTTTACCGATTCCCACATAATCGTTACCAGCTGGAGTTAGGAAGAAACAATATATTCAAAATTATACACTTTCCTGTTGCACGTTAACATTACTGTAATAAGTTCCTACGACTGGTAAACAATAATCTTATACCTGGTAAAAAAATGAGGCAATAAAATAAACTTATACCCGGTGAAGAAATGAGGCAATACAAAATAATCTTATGTCTGGTAAAAAAAAAAAATGAGGCAATAAAATAAACCTATACCTGGTAAAATAACTGAAGCAATACAAAATAATCTTATGTCTGGTAAAAAAACTGAGTGAATAAAATATACTTCTACCTGGTATAAAAAACTGAGTGAATACAATAACCTTATACCTGATAAAAAAAAAAACTGATACAATACAATAATCTTACATCTGGTAAAAAAACTGAGGAAATGCAATGACCGTGTAGCTGCCCAAAAATCGGAAGTAAATACGTTTGGAGTTCCTTATTAGTATCAACTAGATATCATTGTTTTTTACCGAATCGCGTAATTCTCTAATAAAACAGAAACATTCGTTCGGGTTCCTCCGGTTCTCAAGTTATAATACTATCATGCTAATAATTCGAGTTATAGGGACAACCCTTCACCTACTCAACAAATTCAATTTTTAAATGACTCATTACCTATTCAATTCAATCAGTTCTGTTTGTTTCAACGGTGGTAAAATTATATCCATCTGATTGCCTGACAAAAACGAAATCTAAATCACACTAACTATTTCGCGAGAAACAGGGCCAACCAGTTGCTTTTCGCTAATAATAGTTATGATTATCACATTACCTCCCACTAACTCCCTCCAACCGCCACTAAAAAAAAATAACCCTGATTATAGTGCAATTAACGAACCCGAAAAGTTCCGTTCTTAAGGTCACAAGTTCATCACTCATGGAATAAATCACTTTTGCATGGCTCTTACTGGTTCATGGAACAGACACCAGATGTCTCGCCTCATTAGAAGAATGATGCACAATCTACTTTGGTCACCTGAAGAATTAAGGTGAGTAAAAAAAGCCCATGTGTTCTGAAAATTTAAAAATTGTTTAGACGTTCAGGTTAACAGTTCGAACAATTCTCGTACGATTCTCGTTGTTTAGTTTGAACGCCTTCAATTAATCCTGCTGTCACTTTAATTCCAATGGTTGATTAAAAAAAAATACAGCATTTTAAATACCGTAACATTCTTTCCAATGGTTGATTAAAAAAAATACAGCATTTTAAATACCGTAACATTCTTTCCAATGGTTGATTAAAAAAAATACAGCATTTTAAATACCGTAACATTCTTTCCAATGGTTGATTAAAAAAATACAGCATTTTAAATACCGTAACATTCTTTCCAATGGTTGATTAAAAAAATACAGCATTTTAAATACCGTAACGTTCTTTCAGGCGCCAAACAAGGGGAAGTCAAAGTAGAAATTTCTGGATT